CGGAAAACCTAAGCGGCCCTAAAGCCAAAAAAGTAGCCGACTTTACTTCAAAGCTCCATCAAAGGAGCTGCCCCATTTGGTGGAGCTGGAGACGCAGCACTCGCTCCCCGATGTCTTGCAGATCGAGTTCCACCCCTGGCGGGGTCCGAGGGAGTCGGGGGGATGCTCGAATCTTGCCATGGGAGGAAGATGCGACGACGTGCATGATATTGTGTTTGTTCTAGATTCTAGACAAGAACAGGGAGTTGAGAGGCCCTGAAGACAACCTTGGTTGTAGCCTTCACCGCAACTTCTGGTCCGTCGCAATCATCACCCCAATCAACCTCTTGTTTAGAGTACCCCTTGGGTAAAGAGAACGAATCCTTCAGTTATTGGGATGTATGAAAAGATAAAAAATAAAATAAAACACACACACACACAAAACAAAACGAACAAACAGGTAAATCAGGCCAGCTCTTTGCTGTATGGTGCCAAGGCGTCTTGAAACAAGCAGGGCTGTCTTGGGCAGCATTGCAATTTTTTTCGCTTGGTTTGAAATCCAATCCGCGGACAGATAAGATCCATGAGTCCGATGATCATTGCGGTTTGGAATTTTAGTCCGGAGTTGGTATGTCGGCTTTATATGTGAGTATGTTCAACGATCAATATGCTTTATCATCTTTATCATCGGGCGAAACTTGTAGGGACAGCAGCCACATTTGCATCTTTTGTCGCAGCAGGATATGCCGAGACGGCGCTCTGTCGCAACCGTGTAAAGAGACGTGTCCAGCAAACACAGGGAAGAGCCAGGAAAGCCCATCAAAGCCAAGACTCGCGACGAAACGGTCAACGGCCTAAGCAGGTGGCGCCGCGCGGACCTCCTCGCCTGGTCCAAGGAGCACGGAGTGCAGCTGGTCGCCTATGGCAGTTTGGGAGGCTCAGATGGGATTGTGGGTTCTTGCTTTAGGGCTTTAGGGTTGAGGGGGTTTTGGGTTTGGGTGTTTCTGGACTTCTGCGTGCTCCAGGTCCCCCATGCATGTATGTTCCCAGCGCGATACACCTCTCAAACTTCTGGCGACGACAACGACGACGATCTCTGTTGCGACTGCTGCTGCTACCGCGACTGCTGCTTACTGGCATTGCTACTGCCACAATTGCAACGTCGAAGGCGACCATTAGTGCAATGTCACAGATGGCAACCCGCGGACTAGTTATTTCTTGGCAGCCCTGGACTATCTCTAGCCCGTAAACCCTACGTCCCTAAAGCTCTAAACGTCTACCTACACCCGTGGGAGACTGCTGGCAGGAGTTGCCTCCGATTGGTTGGGCGACGGTGCGCTCGCAGATTTGGGGAAAGAGCAAGGCTGGGCGGCTGGGGGGACTGAAAGCATTTTGCGGCAATATGCCGTTGTAAGTACGCATTATCAAGAGCATGTTGAGATGGATGATTTCTGAAGATGTGCATATCTACACTCTATATATGTATATATATATATACACATACATACATATGTATATATATATATGTATATATATATATACATATAACTGGCTGACTAGCTAACTTATTTAAGCAATTAGCTAACCAATTACCTAGCTAACTAACTAACCAACCACCCAGCCACCCAACCACCCAACCACCCAACCACCCAACCACCCAACCACCCAACCACCCCACCACCCAACCACCCAACCACCCAACCACCCAACCACCCAACCACCGAACCACCCAACCACCCACCCAACCAACCAACCAACCAACCAACGAACGAACGAACTAACTAACTAGCTAGCTAGCTAGCTAGCTAGCTAGCTAGCTGGCTAACTAACTAACTAACTAACTAAGTAACTAACTACCTAACCAACCAACCAACCAACGAACTAACTAACCAACCAACTAACTAACTAACTAACTAACTAGCTAGCTAACTAACTAACTAACTAACTAACTAACTAACTATTCAAGCAACTAACTAACCACCCTGTGACACCCAACCAACCAACGAACTAACCAGCTAACTAACTAACTAACTAACTAACTAACTAACTGACCAACTAACTAACTAACTAATCAACTAACCAACCAGCTAACTAACTAACTAACTAACTAACTAGCTAAAGTAAGCTCAATATCCAATTGTTTAACCCACCAAGCGACCAAGCGACCAAGCGACCAAGCAGCAATGCAGCAAACCAGCAAACCAGCAAACCAGCAAACCAGCAAAGCAACCAAGCAACCAAGCAAGCAACCGACCGACCGACCCACCGACCCACCGACCGACCCACCCACCCACCAAGCCAGCCAGCCTGCCAGCCAACCAGCCAACCAACCAAACAATTGACTAACTAAGTAACTAGGTAATTAAATAACCAATTATCTCACTACCTCGCTAACAAATGAACTAACTAACAACCTGATGATCCAACTAACCAACAACTGAACAAACGAACGAACTAACTAACTAACTAACTAACCCACGAACCAACTAACCAATTAACGAACTAAACTAACTGACTAACTAACTAACTAACTGACTAACTAACTAACTAACTAATTAACTAACTATCTAACTAACTAACTAACTAACTAACTAAATGACAACAACTACTACTACTGCTACTACTACTACTACTACTACTACTACTCCTGCTGCTGCTGCTACTACTACTACTACTACTACTACTAGTAGTGCTACTACTGCTGCTGCTGCTGCACTGGTACTAGTACTAGTAACTGCTACTGCTACTGCCACTGCTACTGCTGCTGCTGCTGCTGCTGCTACTACTACTACTACTGCTACTACTACCACCTAACTAACTAACTAACTGACTGACTGACTGACTAACTAACTAAATAACCAGACTATCTAATTAGCTGTGAAAGTAACCAGATACATAATTACTGATAAGCCCACCCTCCCAAGACCAGCTGTTGTGGTGCTTCTAGCTTAATCTTATCTCGCAAACTTTTGTGACACCTTGCAAGATTCATTTGAGCGCACCGGTTCCACAGCACTAATTCCACCAGGAGGAAGAGGAGCGGATTCCCCTGCCCTTGGGCTTCTTAAACGTTTAGCCGTAAACACATACACATAAACACACACTCACACACAAGCTACTCCACTGCATGTGCCCACAGTCCCCTGTGGCGACACAGCACAGTCATGACTCAAACAGATGAGCTGTGTTGGGTGTCTCAGTTCGTGTGTGTTCCGTTGTCCTAGGATGGTGATGATGATTATGATGGTTGTGGTGATGATGATGGTGATGCTGCCGGTGATGAAGCCCCACGGCTCGCAGTCGAGTGCCCCTGTCTTCGGGGTTCGCTTTTTCTTCTTGTGCGTGTGGGTTTGTTCTTCGGGGCTTTCTTTGGTGAAACCTCCTATGGGCAAGCCATGGATGGTGAGGGCGAAGACGGTGGCACCACTTTATCAGACTTGGAGCTGCTGGAAGGCGATGACCCACATGACCATGCTCGCGGTCCTCCAGCTGCTTCTGCTACAAGTGGCCCTGCCTTTGTGCCCAAGGGACCTCCGCCTCCGAGACCCATGTTTCGAGCACCCAGCCTCAGTCCCCCTGCTCCGGACCCAGAAGATCGAGGACAAGACTCGTCTGCTGCAAGCTCTGACGGGTCAGACCACCACAGGCGGTGGCCGGTCCTTGAAATACTGGAAAACGGACAGCGTACCTATGAAAGGGTTGAAGGACCCCATTTACCCAATGGGAGGTTTGCAGAGACAAGCTCAGACGACTCCGATGGCAACGAAGGCGAGGCGGCGGCCGCTGAAGAAAGCGAAGAACGGGACGGAGATGATGCAATCAGCGAACGTGGCTCCTCGCTTAACTCGTATACGTGGAGCTCCACAAGCTTGGTCTTGGAGGGACCAACTCTCCAATCGGCTCTGGAGTACTACCTGTGCCAATTCCGGATGGAGCTATTGGATGTCTCCCCTGGACTATCGAGTCGATCCCAAGGTGCAAGAATGGAATGCTTGTCTGAAGGCAACCTTACAGGAGAGCGCCTCCGCCGGTGGTCAGAATGGGCCTACAGAGCCACCCACGAATACCGGCCCAAGCGGCGCGACGAGGATCGCTAGTGGTGCAGCCTTTGCGCCGCTGATGGCTCGGCCCAGGAGCCTGCGTGCCAAACGGTTTCAGAGACCTCGCATTCTCCACCCGTACTGCATCGTCCCCCGCCCTAAGCATGCCCCTAAACCCACGCTTAGAAGACCTAAGCCCCCGCCTGACTCTACTAAGCACTCTCCCAGTAGGACCCGGACTAAGTGCCCCCGCCCGGCTGCCAGGACTGCCAAAGCACAGGGAAGTGATGCCCTTGCATTGTCCCCTGCCTCAGGCGCGTGCTGCTCTGCTTTGCTGCATACAAGTAACGCCGAAGCACCAGGTACTTGCAAGCCATACATACTTCCACATAGCCGACCTACTGCGTGCCGTTCCGGTCCCAATTCCGGAGCCTACCTAGTCTTAATCACGGTCTCTAGTGGTTTTCAACAGGTGGGTGGGGTGAGGGTTCCTCCTGGACCCGCGCCAGGAGGTGGACTCGCCATCTCGATGGCGAGGAAGCATCGCGGCACAGTGCCAACAGCGGCGCCAGCACCCCAGGCTCCTCCCCTAAACCCCCCTAGGTCCGTCAAGCGCGCCTTTCGGCGAGCCCGCCTTAGAGCCCACACCTCCCCTAATCAGGGCACGTGGTATCGAGGCAAATGGATCACGGCTGATAACCTTGGTAAACTCCCGAAGCCCATAGTCTCCCCGCCCTCGACTAATCGAAGGTCATTGCCGCGGCGAGCCAACTCCCTCAGGCACTTGCGCCTGTTGTCGTGGAACGCTGGGGGCCTTGCGGGACCTCTTTACCAGGAATTACTAGCCTGGTGTGAAATTAGTGACAATGTAGATGCCGTAATCATACAGGAGACACATTGGCATGACACGACAGACTTCTACACCGGACCGTGGATTGCAATGCATAGTTCGGGTCGCGCCAGCTCCAATGAATTCGGCAGGTGCACTGGGCTGCTCTTTCTGCTGAAGCGCAAGCTCTTCCAGGATCCCCGGATTCTGGAGGTCAACCCAGGCCGTCTTGCGCTTGTGCAGGCCGTGCATAGAGACACACAGCTGATAATTAGCATCATAGGCATGTACCAACACGTTTGGCGCACGGGGCTGACAACAGCTCGCAACAGAGAACTCCGACAACTTATTTGGACCCAGCTTGACCAAACCCTACACCGCATACCCAGCCGGCACTGCCTTGCCATCTGTGGCGACTTTAATACCACCCTACGCACTGAATCGACCATGGTAGGCAGCTCCGTGCCTCACAGCACCGCCACTGCTGATGATGGGCTTCAGGCCCTCCTGCATAAACATTCGCTTTGTGCACTTAATACGTGGCACTGTCGGCCTCACACTACCTTCCACTCGCATACCGGAGACACCCAGATCGATTATGTCATCACCAGGCAGGACACAGCCCAGGCTCAGGCACGCGCAGCCTATCCCGACCATCTTTTTCCAGTAGGCGGTGATAGACTCAGCCAACATTTTCCCATCCGTGCTAGCCTGCCTTTGCGTCCCTTTTCCCACAGACGAACACCCACGACTTCCCAACCTGCATATGACTCCACTGCTCTTCAAATCGCTGTCAGGGAGCATACTCCCCTTGCCCAGGAGCTACAACAGCGGGTTGCGACTCGCCTCCGTGAGGTCGACACTCAGCACTTTGCTGGGGTTCACCCGCATGTCAATCGCATTCTCCTTGAGGAGACCAGTGCTCTCTTCCCGCCGTGCCCATCCCCTGATCACCGGGTCAGTGCTCAACCTACGTACCGCATTACTGCACGTGCAGTGTGGCACATCTACCGTTGCCTCAAACACCCAGGCGTGTGCACCTTCCGCAACATCTTTGCCAAGTGGCGTTTGGCTACCCAGTTCGCCCGAGCCTCACGCACACTGCGTCGGTGTAGCAAGGACCACAAACGGCAGTATTACATCGCTCAGGTGGATGCAGCTGAATCAGCAGCTGCCCAAGGCGACCAGCGCAGCCTGTACCTCATTGTTCGTAGACTGTCGCCCCGCAAGCGTCAGATAGCGGGCAGGCTGCGCAGCGAGGATGGCAAGCTCCTCACTCGGGAAGAAGAACTTCAGGCCATTGTTAAGTATGGCAACGCCACCTTTGCAGCACTTTTCGATGATCATCCCATACTCCCCCTGGCAGAGGACCTCCCCATTGCTGCCACATCCATTGCTGCTGAACTTGCTCACTTGGGCATTGCCAAGGCAGTCCCCAAACACATTGCACCCGCAGCCACCTGGAAGCTCTGTGCCTCTGCCTTGGGCGGCGAGACGCTCACCGCCCACTTTCGACAGGGCACATACGCCACTCTTGACGCGGACTGGAAGGACTGCAGCGTAGTTTGGATACCCAAGCCTAACAAACCGCCCCTGGGGATCTCCTCCCTCCGGCCCATTGGGCTATCAAGAGCAAGGCTCTAGCCGGTAGCTTGCATACCCAGCTTCTACACTCCCTTGCGCCCTTGATGCAGTGCATGCCACAGTTTGCTTATGCCAGCCAACGCGGTACGGCTAATGCAATTGCCAAAGCTCACCATCATTTTGAGCTCGTGGCTGATCTTCTGGGACATGCCCGAGTTACTCGCTTTCAGCATCAGGCTGGTAAAGTCAGACGCGCCTGCACTGGTGGTATCGGTCTCTCTTTGGATCTTTCTAAAGCTTTCGATGGCGTTAACCGCTCACGTATCTACGAGGCCATGCAAAGCCGCGGTGTTCCAGCTTCCGTCATCACCCTCGTCCAACAACTTCACCACCATGCCAAGTATGTTTATCGTGTTGGCACGTGCACTGGCTCCACTCTTACCTCCAACGGGATAAAACAAGGCTGCGTCATTGCTCCATATCTTTGGAACTATTTTTCGCTTGCCTTTCTTCTTCTCCTGCAGGAACAACGTGACCTCGCCTGGATTCAGAACCTCCTCTCGCTCTTCGCCGATGATGTATGGGGTGCCTGGCTCATCGAATCCTCCACCGACTTTCATGCTGCAATTTCAGACATTCAGCTGATACTCGAAACCCTTGAAACCCTGGATATGACTATCAACTTTGACAAAACGGCTATCCTTCTTAAATTGGTTGGAAAGGACGCCAAACAGCTTCGACGAGATCATCTCTTCCAGAAGGCTGGGCAGTCCTTCCTTCGGGTCCATGTTCATGGACGTGAGCAGGGTATCCCCGTCAAAGACCAGCATATCTATTTGGGTACCGTGGTCACATACACACGCCGCCTCGAGCGCAACATGCAGCATAGACTGCAGGCGGCCCGCACCAACTATCAGGGCCTCCGTAAGCTCCTTAACGGCTCCCATCACCTGGGCGTCTCCCACCGCATTCGCCTCTGGGTTGCCTGCATTTGCTCTAGTGCCCTGTACTCTCAGCATGTTGTAGGGGTCACCGATAAGTCGCTCCGTAGGCTGACGACCATGCTCACCAAACACCTGCGAGCCATACTCAGGCTCCCCGCACACCTGACTCATGTCTCCAACCGCTCCATTTGGCAACAAGCTTGTCTCCCGCAGTCAGGGTGGACTATTCAACAAGCCTTGCTACGGCATCAGTCTCAGCTGCTGCATTGTGCCGCGAGCTCCCCGGACATCACTTCCACTCCTGCCGCTCTTGCTCACATGCAGCTCCTTGCTACGCGCCTTGAGGCCATCCTGCATACTGTGGCACAGTCCATGGCCCAAGAATCTTCTCAGGCGCCCAGCTTTGGATGTCCGCAGTGCTCTGAATTGTTTATTTCCGAGAACGCCGTCCGCATTCACTGCAAACTTAAACATCAACACCTCCCCCCCCCGCCTCGACCACCGCCCGACGACCTTTGTGCCCGAATTGCATTCCCAAGCAGGCATGCCGGCCTGCCGCCTGTGCAATCGACAGTTCTTTCGCTGGAGTCACTTGAAGCTGCACATTGAGACTGGAGCATGCAATGCCCTAGGTGGTGACAGCTTTGTGCGAGCCCCACAATCTGAGGCGACGGTGAGTGCGCCCATTCGTGAGCCGCCTACGGCGCATCTTGCCATCTTGGAGGGTGAAAATGTTACGCATCTTCCTCTGATCAAGCGCAGCGCCTTTCTAGCGAGTCTTCATAGATGGGAACAGTGGCTCTCCGTGCCCGAGCTGCGTGCTGAGCTCAAGAACCATTGTGCCATCTGCCACATGTGGGTGGCAGACTATAGACACATGAAGCAGCACTTCAATCGAATACATGGCCCCCAACACCCTACTCTCCTTCCTAGGGCTCTCGAACTTTGTGCCACTTTCAAGGGTCACCTTAGACGCGACAGCACGTGCATCTGGTGCGGCCATCGGGTCGGCGCCCCAAAGCGCCACACGCAGCAGTGTACGCCGCTAGTGCAGCTCACTCTTGCAACCCTATTGTGCAAGGATGTTCGGGGATCAGCTGAACATGGGAGCCTATGCCAACGAGGAAGCCGAGATCTTCGCGGCCTACTGGACGCTCGCAGAAGCGCCCCCGGCCGGAGCAGCAGCGCTGGAATGCACCGTCCCACATGGGTCCCAGACCGGGGATGGGGGGAATGGGAATGGGTCTGGGGCCGGGGCGTGGACAGCCGCCCCGGCACATGCACCACCTCCAGAACCACATCAACCTCCTCGGCCGCGTCGTGCTGCAGCAAGAGGAGGTCATCAGTCGACTTCGTCACGACAAAAATTTTGTCATCTTTATGCGCAACGATGCCAACGGCGCCCTGGCCACCCTCATGCGCATATCCCGCGACTGGCGGGCCAGAAGTCCCTGGAGGCCGAGCAGCTCACCTCTCCATTGCGCACCGTCCTGATTGCGTGCATGATCAGGGAACTCATGAACCAGGCCCAGCAGGCGGTGGCAACCGAGGACTCTCGAGCCAAACACCTCGCCAGCGAATGGTTGAACCAAGAGGGCAATTGGAACTATCGTCGGTGGAACCCGGCAGAGAAACGGCTCGAGCTCGACAAGAAGCGCACACCCCTTCAGCATACGGAGGCCATCCGGCTCTTGAACTTCCTGTTGAAGGAGATGACCGGGGACATAATCCAAAGGTTCGCTGCCTCCAAGACCCTAGCCTTCCTCGAAAAGCAGGGCGCGCAGGTCGCAACCTTTCATCTGGAGATCTCTTTACGAGGTTCCCGGGCGCTCGAAGTGTACGAAGCTCTGGGCCGCCTCACCAGCTGCTCATTGACCAATCTCATAGGGGTCTCGATGAAACGGGACACCCTTCCTCGTTCCATGATGGCAAGGAGGCTAGCGGACCAGGTCTACCCTCCTCGAATGCCACGTCAGCACTAGATGCCGACAGCGACGATGCTCGTGCCTCAACTGTCGCTGACCCCACTCCTGTATCCCGTGCTCGCACTATGCCCAGCTCATCTCCCACAGGTTGCACCGGCGGAGCTGTTGCTCCGGCTACAGGCTCGGCACTACCAGTAGTCAGACTTCAGGGCGGCTCCAATAGCTGCTACTTGAACTCATTCTTGTACAATCTTGTAGCAGCCGCTACAGCATGCCAGCACTGCTCGATCCTGCCGCAGGTCTTTTGGGAGAAATCAGGGCGTGCCCATCGGGCACTGCGCCTGATGGGTTTCAAACTTCTGGGTTGGTCCGCACCCGAACAACAGCACGATGTTACGGAACTCATTGATTTTCTGCACGGGCGTCTGGCCTCTGTCATCATCAATGCTGTCATTGAGGTCCACAGCCACACTGCAGAAGGTTTTCAACGTGCAGTTCAGGCTTCAGCCACCAAATGCCTAGCATTGCCGATAAATCCCGACATGCATTCCCCGGATGTGCAGGAACTCATCCAAGCCTGGCATGCAACGCAGCAGGCGGGCATCACAGCCTACAATGCTGCACCAGCCTGGCTATTCATTCAGATTCCACGTTTTCACTACCATTCCCCTAACTGGTCTGTCAAACTGCAACAAGCATATCTCATTCCCCAAACCCTAAGCATACCTATCTTTAGTGATCCCATAGATCTGCATGTTGTCTGGGAGCAGTATCAGGTTGTAGGACTTATCCAGCATCACGGCAACCTGCCCACGTCAGGGCACTACACCTCGGCCATCTGTGAGACCACTGGCCGATTTTGGCTTTTGGATGATGAAAAAGCTCCGACTGAGCTCACTGATTGCCAGCTTGATCATGTCAGTAACAATGTGTGTGTCATCACTGTTGTGCACTCAGCTCTTTGTGCCCAACCGTTATCGGCAGCTCTTCGTGCAAGCCATGGATCCCCAGCGTCAACGACGCACCCTCCGGGAGGAGGATCTGGACTGGATGGCGAGCCGCGTCAGCCTTTTGCAGATGCAAATCAATGGCCTGGCGGAAGGTCTCGAAGCTATCCAGCAGGCCCTGTCTCGATTGGCAGGCCAGGTGCACGGCCTCGAGGAGCGCGTCCCGAGGCGAACAGCTGCTCGAAACAAATGTCACAAGATTGTCATGACCTTTGAGTCCCTCGAAACCATGGACGATTGAGGCCATCCGATGATCACCAATCAACAAGAGCCTTTACTTTTGCTTTAGCTTTGTAGCTTGGAACCCTCTGCAAAACAGCAGTCTGCTTCCTCATACGGCGTTGCGGCGCATTTTCTTTTGATTCTTAGAGCGATTTGTATAGCTGGCGCCACGCTATTCCGTGGCCTACGCGCCTGCCATCCTGATTGGCCGGTCCCAGAAGTGGACTGTAAGGCACTCGCTGGACGAGGTACTCTCTTCGCCGCGTGAGAAGAAGAAGAAGCTGCCGGTGATGACAGAGATGATGGTTCGAATGAACATGACGATAACTTCGTGATGACGGTGGCTTTGTTTTTTTCTTTGTTGTTGTTGTTGTGGTCGTCGTGGTGGTCGTCGGTGCTAATAATGTTGACAACGGCAGTCATCCTGAGAATGATGTCGGCGATGATGGTATTGATATTGATGTTGGCGGTCGTGATGAAGATAGAGATGGTGATGGTGCTGAGTATGATGATAACACGATAATGAATTTGCAGGTTGAGTGTGACACTGACGTTCATTCGTGTGGTGCCGAAACATGTCAGCTGTCATAAAAACACTAAGACATTGTGTTTGTTTTTCAGCGGGTGTTCAGCTAAAATGTTAAACATTACCGCTGTATAGG